TTATTCTGCCACGTGTCGGATTGTAACTGGTTTTTACAAAATATATAGCTAACAAATATCCTTCGATCTGTCAATTCGTCCAAAACTACCCAAATCACGATTTGTCAATCCACTATTCGGTTTATAATTTTACTTTCAAACTGTCCAAACCACACCGCGCACACATCTAGTTATAATTGTTATAAATATCGAGGGAGACGGTGTAATTTATTCTAAATTTTATAAAATAATTTAACTTATTGTTGTGGTACTCGTCATATTATTAAAGTAAGTCGGTTCTAAAATTTTAAATTCTCCTATTGCATACCACATCAATTCCTAACAAAATTTACAAAATTTATTAGTTTGTATGGTTTTTTCTTTTTATCACAAAGTTATTACACAAAAATTAGCCCATAGAAAGTAGACAGAGACCATGTTTGTTTGGACGGACTGGATTAGCATTTCCATAATTAATAATCCTAGGATTACGAATCCGTTGAATTATGTATCCTATCTTAACTAATAGTCAAGTTTAAAATAATTAGTCCGTACTTCAATTGTTTAACCAAACATCGAATTAATAATTTTATTGGACTATTAGTCCAATCCCAAACTCATGTCCATCCAAACAAACATAGCCTCAGTATTATTTGAATTTAACTGAATGTGGCCCAACACCACATTCAAGATCAATCTCGACAACATAGTTCACTTTCTGTGACCAATTTTTGTATTAGTAACTTTACTGTCTGATTATCCCCAATTTTACTGCAAATATTCCCTGATGTAAGTTCCAAATTTATGATACAACTAGTCGATTTTCTTGCACAAGACACAATATCAAAGCTTTCATTTAGAGAAAAACCCACATGGTTATACTCACATTTTCATTTATTCAATCAAAAACATACCAGGAATAACTGCAGCTCTGTATGTTAAACAGAGGAATCTGATATCCGACTATCATCCTTTCAATAATATGGCCATGCATATAAGAAACTGAAGGTCTGTCGGTATCAAAGAATCTGCTGGTGGAAGTGAGTGGCTCAAGAAACCTATATTCACGATATACATATATCAACCAACATATTGATGAACAAACTGCCAGCAGCAGTAGCAGGACAACATATCCGTGCAACCAAAAGAAAGGGGGCAGCATCATACAAATACATGGGCAGAGAAACAGCAATAGCCTTGGGGCAGAGGTGTAGCAACAAAATAGCACCAGGGCCTAGCAGCTGATCCGAGCAAACATAGTAGACTGTAACAGCAAAGCAGCATCAGCTTATGTACCAAATAAGCACAATCAGTCTACAAATATTCTCTGGAAGGTTCCACTGCCTCATAAATTACAAGTTCCTGGGTTTCTTCTTTTGTGATTTTTCCAACACATCAGGCACAATTAGCTCAATCTCCTTAATCATCAGCTGCACTGGTCACTGTACATGCTCAAATGTACACCTACTTTTCTCTCCTTCCATATGGAGTAAACAGCGACAGCAAGGCATAACAACCTGGCCAGAGTGTTTGGGAAATACTTCCCCCTCCACGCATTCATTGCCCATTCCAATATCATTTTTCCACCTACTGTTGGGCCATCGGTCATTGCATTTTGACAGCATGTAGGCCTGAATTCTCTCAGTAAATTGACACTGAAAGAATAGATGGTCATGAGATTCATTCTCTCACCACATAGTAGCCCCAAATTGTCTTAGTAAATCCACACTGCAAAGTAGCTCATCAGTCTGCCCTGTGTACTCATTCTTTCTTTCATTGCTATCCAGAAAATAAAGGTGAATCTTGGTATAGCTAATTTTAAACCAAGTTATGAAGTACCAAGTGTCACTGCTTCTTGACTCCTAATCTTCTTCCATGTTGCTGCTGCAGAGAATCTTCCATTTGTACTTGGAAGCCACTTGACTGTATCAACTTTGTTGCTATCTGTTTTCAATATACTGCTAGTAATGCACTTAATCTCTATTAAATCCACAGTTTATGCTTGGGGCCATTTCCTATTCCTGCCAATAACAATAGAGCTGACTAAAGCATCTCTACCCAGTTCTACGTTAGATATGACATTTTCCCCTTTTGTAATGATAATGGGCGCAACAGGCATCCAATTATCAAACCATAATATTGTGGATTTTCCATCACCAATTATGGGCTGCATCATAGGGCATGCTGTTTCCGTCAAACTTGCTATTTTTGTCCACACCCATGAACATGACTGGGGGTATTTAACTTCCTAGAAACTTTTTTGTTTCAGCAATTAGGCTTTGACACATTTACAGCAGACTTTAGTCTTGATTATTGCTGAATAGGAACCACTTACATATCGATATAATAGCTCTGTTCCACTCAACTTTTAGAAACCCAAACCATCTTCCTTGACCATATTAAGTTTACAAGCCGCAAGATGGAGAAAAGATGGAGAGAAACTAGTTAGCATCCATCATTAAACATACGATTAAAGTTGGAATGTTTCATAATTCTAATGTCTCCAAGACCCAGTATGCTAGCAATGATTTAACCCCAATCATTTAGCTATAAAATTTCAAAGTATTGCTTTTATTTTCAATTGAAAAGTTGTAACATGAAGGTATGAACTCATTCAGCTAAGCAAATGATACAGCCACAAAATGGAAACAACTCAAGGAACTACTTCTCTACCAGGATTCAGCAAATGATTTGACTAAGCATTTTGTTTAATTCCAAAATTTATGGCAAGTAAAACTAGGTGACAGGAATATATTTAAATGGGACAGTAGAAAAATGATATCAAAATCACATGAACGTCACAGAACATCACAGATAATAAGACAAATGGAATATAAAAACCACAGATCATGCTTTTAACTGTAATTCTAAGCAATAATTTTAGTACATTTCATAGTATAACTTGAAAAACCATGCAGTATGCTTTTACGTTGCTGCCAATTTCATACTGTCTGAGTCTGATATTTACCTCCTTATTTTTATCAGTAACTAAAGGAAAGGGGTAAAAAGATTTCATACTAAGCATAAAGAAAGACAAAAGACCAAACGAAGTCATAAAGAAAAGATACAAGCAAATCACACAACAGAAAAAATGGTAAAATAAAAAAGCACAATGCCAGACCAAAAATGCTGGCATAGTTCTGAATAAAAATTTCAATCAAGTAAAAACATTATCCATTTATAAATCAAACAATTAGAGACCATAACCCATAAATCAGAATGAAAACAACTCTGATGCTAGTACCTGAATCAATTCTATCATTTTAGTTCCTGAGGTTGTCCTTGAAGTTTATGCAAAAGCATCCTGTAAGTATGATTATCCACAAGCTCCTTCTCTTGCAACTCCTTCAACAACCTTATGGCATCTCCAACCCTCTGTTTCCGGCAGATCTCATCAAGTACTGTCCGATATGTGACCAAATCAGCAGACCTCCGGTTTTTCATCATCTCCCACAACAAATTCACTGCTTCATCAACTTCTCCATCAAGAGCCAAAGAGTTCACAAGGGAGTTGTATGCCTTACTGCTTGGAACGAACCCTTTTTTCTTCATTTCATTACACAAATCCCTACCATTCTTCGTTCTCCCTTGGGCACATAACCCATGAATCAAATAATCATAGGAATATGAATTGGGCAGGCAGCTATAGACCACACCCATCTGATGAAATATTCTTAGGGCATCATTTACGTGAAGTGAAAGGACATACCCTTTTATCATGGAATTCAATGAGAAAATATCAGGTTCAACACCATCATTCACCATTTGCTTGAAGAGGCATCTAATAGTCTCCATATACATGTGGTTAATATAAGAATTGCTTCCCCGACTCAGAAGTGCAGAAAATAGAAGATTATAGGTTCTGATCGAAGGCCTACATTCCACATTCTTGCTATTTCTCATGTGCTTATATATATTGACAGCCTTAGTTAATTTCCGATCTTCTGTAAAGAAGTAGATTATTGTGTTATACAAAGCCTCAGAACCAAAGTAAGGAACAACAAGCACTCGGTCAACAATCTCATACAACTCTTGGTATAATTTTGCAGCACCAAGCTTTTTTATTGTAATATGGTATGTGGAGACATCATGATTGAACCTAGAGTGTTGCGAAGCCCAATTAAACACCTCCAAGCACACTAGAGGATCATCTTGCAGAGTTATAACATTGCAAATTTCTTCAGCGGTGAACCTGGGTGGAAGCTGGGATACAGCCCGCTTAAATTGGGCTACATTTAGAACAGGTTTCGAGGCAAATTTCAATCTTTTATGAATTCTTCGCCTTAAAGATCGAGATGGGGGTTGCAAGGAAGAATGATAAAACAAAAGGTGGACATATCTGTAATATACAAGTGAAGAATTGGAAGTAGTGAGTTTGGCAGCTGTGTGAATTTGGGTATGAGTTTTAAGATGCCAATGGTAAGACAAAATAGAGCAGTTGGAAAACAAGGATGGGTTTTTAAAACGGTTTACAGAAACAAGCTGATTAATAACGTAACTTGTGTTGAGGAAAAGGCGAGGCAAATGGACTCTACTAAAAGATAGCATGTTAACACATACATACAGAGCAAAATCAATTCAACGAATACAATCTTTCAATTAATTGAATTGAATTGATAAAAGAGTAAAATTACAATTAGAGCTCATTGCTTTGCTTCACTGTAATCCAGATGATGATGATGAAGAATCGGTGATGAGTTCAAGATCTGAACTTTTTTGCAGAGCTGCAGAGATCAAACTGGGACGAATTAGGGCTCCTGATGTGTGATTTTGGGACGGAGATAAGCTTCAACACAGAGCGGGGAGAGAGAGACACAGGAATCTATCTAAAATTACAAAAGTGATAGAGTTTTTGTTATTTACAAATTTTACCCAATACATTTCATATTATAATTTGGGGTCCCAAACTTGTCTTATTATTGTCTTTTGAAGTTAAAAAGGCATTTGGCTGGGCCTCATTTTCGAACTATTAATATTACATAGATAAAAAAAATATTTTGGGCCCTCAAATTTTGAGGCTTTAGCGTGATTGTGGTCTTTGTTTCGGGGGTTTGATTTGAGATGCTTTCTGTGGTGTGAAATGATTGAAGCCTAAGCGTGATTTTTGCCAAAAGATTTGTTTGAGAATTCAATATTTTAGTTTAAATTTTTTTTTTAAAAAAAATAACAATTTATATAAAAAAAATAAAAAATTTCTTTTTCTTTTTAATTTTTGCACAACTTTTAGTAAAAAATTAAAAAATTATTCCAAACATATTGTTTGGTTTGTTTTTGGGAGAGTTGTTTTTGAAAAAAATTTGGAAGAGTTATTTTAGAAATTTTTTTGGTTTGTTTGGTTGTATATTTTGAGAGATAAATTTTTTGTGGGAGTTTGAGATGATTTGATATTTTGGAAGAATTTAGTAGATGTGTGTGAGAGAAAAAGTGATTGAGAAAGAGAGAGGAGAGAGAAAAAGTGATTGATTGATGTGTAAGAGAGAGAAAGTGATTTATTTTAAATAAGGGATGTGACTCTTTGTTATGTCAATCGACAGAGCCAAAGATATAATGTTCATAAATCGACATCGATAGATTAAAAATTACTATGGATATAATATGACTCTTCAAGAATTCTAATTGTTTGCACCAAAAAATATTTTTTGTCAGTTGTGGTAAAACATCTTATAAATCATTTAATTAGATTTCATTCTTCAATTCATTTAAATTAGGGAGGCATTATTTGCACCGCATTGTATTTTTTTATCAACGATGGCCAGTTGATTATGGCCAAGTTCGATTATGGTCTGTCAATTAAGACCATAGACTATTTTTAAGAATAACCTTGGCTACATTTGTTTTTATTATTATTATTTCTATCGACAGGCATGCTAATGTGGCGTGCCAGATGTGCTAAGGACGTAGCATGATGACATGTTAAATGGAGGGCCAGAAAGTTAGCAATTGAGCAATTTGAAAGTTAGTTGCTAAGATCAAGGAGTCAAGATCAAATCAAGAACCAAATCTGCAAAATGGTTCTCATCAAAGATGGGATATGTATCATGTTGAGGAAATCATGGGCTTGTTGAGGAAATTGTGGGCTTAGATTATCTCTTTTTCTCATGTGGCTGAATATATAAATGGGTCAAGAGAGATACCAAATCAAATATCAAACAACCACCAATCACACTTACAAAGAGTTTATCTAGGAGTAGTTTAACTTGGCATTTTTAGGAGTAGATTAAATCAGTAGCTTTTTCCAACCCCCACTTTTTTTCTTTCTGTCGATTTGTAGCGACCCTAATTTTTTGTAAGTCATTATTTATTATTATTACTTCATTTTATTTTTGACTTTATTAATTGTGTGGATATATGAGAATTTAATTAATTTAATATGTTATTTATTATATATAATTAATATGATTATTTATATTGATCTTATATGGAATATTTATATTTATATATGTTGTATTTATGATTTATTTGTATAATATGATATAAACGGTCAATTAAGTTATAAGCCTTAGAGGCTCACTAAAACAAAAAAAAAAAAGGGGCAGTAGCACCAAATTCTGAGAGAGAGAGAGAGAGAAAAAAAAGGGATTAGGGTTTTATTTTGGTGGCTTTATTAATTCTCTAAATATTTTTTTGATTTTCAAAAAATAATTATAAGTGCAAAACCCACTTTCCTTGATTTATTTTTATTGTGTTGTTATTATTTATTTATTTTTATTGATTTGATTTTGGTTTGATATTGTATTTGCATGAAGATAATTGATTGATTTCAATTACTTGGATTAGTTGTGTATGCAAGATTTAAGATTTTTATATGTATTTATTTTATAGTTTAATCACACTCATAAATATATGAAATTAAAATAAACTTAGAATCCATGGATAAATTCTGAATACTCCACCACAACTCCATGGATTGTTATTTTATTTGAGTGTTGGTGGAAAAGAGTGTATAAAAAAAAGGTGAGGATTGTGAGATTTATTTGAATGTCTTACGCTTGGCATTGTTATGTTTGTTCTCATGAATAGATGTGGGATTGTGTATACATATATATTGTTGCCTCGTTCTCAAGAGTGATGAGTGCTTTGATTTACATGCGTACGTATATATTAACCATCCGAGGAGTATGGGTCAAACTCGAGACAATATCCCTATGTAAGTTTGGTTTCGGAGCAATGTTAGGTATACGGAAGGCACATGGGATATATGTGTATGTTGAAAGTGAAGGGCCGAAGTGGAGTTAAAGTACAAAGAATTAAATATGAACTTATTGGTATAGTTTGAATTGTTTTTATTTGTACATTTTGAAAAATAGTGAACGATCTTGATAAATTACGAAATTTGGGCAGAGACATGTATACGTAATTCTAGACAACTTCTGTATTTTAACTTTTTACTGAAAAGATCGATTAGAACTTGTAATCGGATAATCTTGGTTACAATAGTTTTATTTATTTTAGCAATGCATATTTTAGATGCTGTTTTAACCCACGAAATGAGCTCATTTTTATTGATTTTGCATGAACTGAAGTAAACATTATTCTGAACACTTTTCGTGTTTTGAACTTTTTCAAAAAAATTATCTTAGGACTGTTTCTTTTCGTTTTCAATTTTAGATTTTTCGATCGAATTCCGTTTAAGTTCTTCTATCAAGTTTTTCTCTTAACCTGTTCAGTTTCTCCTAAATCATTCCACGTTACCTTTTAGAAATGTTGATTCACTTTTATTCTTTGAAGTTTGGTCAATTCGAATGATTTAAGTATGAAACGGTGCGTTTTTATAATTCTTCAGCAATTTACTTATAATAAATGTTTTTTTTTTTTTTTTTTTTTTTTTTTGTAAAATGGTGAGCGGGGTGAGCCCCCGACATGAATATAAAATGAGTTTGGTGTGCAGTTTTTCTTCGTCGGTTTTTTTTTTTGTTTTGTTTTGTTCTTTTTTTTTTATGGGGGTGTGTTTTGGGTTTACTCATATCCATGTGCTGCGGAGAGAAGGCTATCGAGCGCACTGACAGAAACAGAGAGGAAGGGGGAAGAAAATAAAGTATAAAAGAAAATAAAAAAAAGAAGAGAAGTGTGTGAGGGGTAAAAGAATAAAAAAATAAAAAAGAAATAGGAAAGGAGATGAAGGAAAGTAAAGAAATAGGAATGGGGCGTGGGCTTGTCAAAAGATGGAGGAAAGTAAAGATAAAAAAAAAAGAAAAGAAATAGGAAAGTAGATGGCAGTGGGAAAGTAGAAATAGGAGAGAGATAAAAAATAAGAATAATAATAAAAAAAAAAAGAGAGTGGAGATACATGTGCAAATCAATGTGTGTGGCGTGGGCTTGTCAAAAGAGGGAGGAAAAGAATAAAAAAAAAAAAAAGGCATAGATTTGTGCAAAAGTGGACAGTCTGTGCAAGATAGTATAATAAACATATACAGATATAGAGATATTAAAATAAAAGAAAGTGGCGTGGGGTTGTGTGTGCTGTGTCGAGGGTTTTGGAAGCTTTGTTGTGTTGTGTTTGGTGGTTCAGGGAGAATGTGCATGTGCAGAAAGAGAGAACATGTGGGTGTGAGATGACCGTTCTGTGTCCTCATCATCATGAACTACGATAAGATTGCAAGCTTTGAAGCACGACCTGAGTGAACTGGTTTTGGAGACATGGATTTGGTTTTAGAGCCATTAATCTGGATCAACAAGGCTGCCAATGTAGCCCTACAAATCTGCCACTTTCCACAGACGCAATCTGTCACTTCTCACTCCGGACAATCACGTCGATCTGATCTGATCTGATCTGATCTCGGCAACCGTTGATCGACGGAGAGAAACCCTTGGGAGCTCACCAGCTAAAGTATCCACAGATGTAGATGTTCTTGTAATCATGGTCGCAAATGAAGCTCTTGAACGAGTTGAAACCATTTGGGTTCAAACTCCGAACAGCTTTTGACGGCGATGTTTGATGGCGATGATGTCACATCCTTTGATGGTAATTTCCCAACCGATTCAAATCGAAAATATTGGCGATGTTTGATGGCGATGATGTCACATCCTTTGATGGTAATTTCCCAACCGATTCAAATCGGAAATATTGTCTTCGTCGCCTACAACTGCAGCTTTGAAGGTACTCGAGATCGCGAAGAGTTTAAACGCGACCGCTGTTTGAAAAGGAATCCAGTTGGGTGGGGCGGTGAAATCCTCTGGTTTAGTGAAAGATGAAACTACTGAAGCTACTGAAGCACCGGCTGATCCTGCCCCAGCAGAACAGGCGCCAGAGGTGAAGACAGAGGCAGCTGAAGCAACGGATGTTGTATCAGTGTCTGAAGTTGTATTCGAGCTATGAAGTATTGTTGAAGAATCTGCCATGAAAGAAGAAATTAAGGAAATTTGGGTTTGTCGCGGAAGCAGCAGGAGAGGCATAGGGTGTGCCTGAGCTTGTTTTTCAAGGAAGGAGAGGTAATCTGTTCGTCCTCCATGTGATAGAAAGAGAGAGAGAGAGAGGGGATGAGAGGTCCGGCGGGCGGCCAAGGCGAGGCTGCCGCCCGCCGGTGAAGCGAAAATACGAGGTTCTCAACCTTGCTCTGATACCATGTAAAATAATGATGTATATATTGATGTATTATTGATTGATGTATCTGTATATTACAATTCCTATTATATAGAGGAGAAGATGGTAGTAGGTGTAGGTGGTAGTGGAGGTGGTAGGTGGAGTGAGTATTTAAAATTATCATCTTATGGTTCAAGTTTATTCTACACATAAACTTCACACCATACAAATTCAATCTCAATTACACAATCTCTTTTAAGATAAATTCGAAATAGTTAAGGTAAGATTCATTGCATTTTTCTAATCAAATTTATGGTTTTTTCCTTCTTTTTTTTTGGGCCTCCCTGCATTTTGTTTAACAAAAATGATTGAGACCAACATTTTTGGAGACCCCCATGGCCCCCAAAATGATTTGGACCACTTATGTATTTATTTTTTGTTTTTTTTTGTTTTTCCCATATCTCTCTCACATGAGTGATCCAAATCATTTTGAGAGTTATGGGAATTCCCAAAATTGGAGGTCTCAATCATTGTTATTTGTTTAATGCTTGTCCTTACTTATAAATTATATTTTGTTTGAGTTCAGATCATCGGTCGCACCTTCTCTGCGGCCCCCGTTGCCGCGCTTGCCAAAACGACTATAGTGGTATTATTATCCCCCCCCTCCACCTCCACCTCCACCTCCACCTCCAAAATATGACTTCTGCCCATCCTCTCCATACATCTCCTTTCCAATATTTCATTTTCTCTCTCTGCAAACTTGCCTGCAATTTCTTTAGTGGGTATTGTTCTTAACCTTCATTGAACATTTCAGCCAACTCACTGGAGACCTTGTTTTGGGTTGTTCTTAAAACTCGACTTTCTTGCGAGAAAATAGAAGGAAAAGAGACGGAAAGTTTGTGTTTAGTTTTACTCTGTGAAATCCCCATTTGGGTTTTGTAATTTATCTCATTTTCTCATCTAGATTTTCCTCAAAACCCTCATAAATCCATTCAATCACTTAAGAAAACAAGTGAAAATGATCAAACTCAGTGACTTGTATCATGTTCTCATAGCTAACAGACCTCGTCACCGCCTCGCTTTCATTGCCTCATCGTGTTCTTTTCTCGCGGCCCCGCGTTCGTCGCCTCCACTCGCCTCATTGTGTTCGTTTCTCGCAACCTCGCGTTCGTCGCCCTCCGTTCGTTGGCCCAGCCCACTCCGTTCATTGTTGCTCTGCCACTCTGTTCATCTCGCTAGGGCTCAAAAACGAAAAGGAGCTGAATAAGAAGGGAGAAAAAAAGATTCAAAATGACGTCGCTTTAAAGCGCAACAAGTAGGGCCGCAGGGAAATGCGGCCGATGATCTGGACTCATATTGTTTTTGGGGGTGTGATTGTATCAAGGTAAAATCTATCTTTATCCTCACCTCTCTCCTATTTTGGAGCAAAGTGGTGCGTACCTTAAAAACTAGAATGACATCAAAGCACCTCTACAGCTGAAATAAAGTCCGAATCTTCACCAATTTTGTGCCGCCGCCGAAAGTGAATTCATTACAAAACATTTTGGAATGTGTGGCAAAACAATCCATGATTCTCTTTCTTCCAGCAAAATATCAATCTGTTTTTTGGGTTTAGTTATCATCGTTCAAAATGGATATAGACCAAGGCGGGGGCCGACGAATTCTCTCTTCAAAATGTTTCTCCCAACGCATGCACTTCCAAGACAATGGAAATAGAAAAAAAAAAATCTATATTTTACTCATATTTTTTAATTTTTAATTTTTATTCAAATTTAAGCAAACTTAAAAGTTTCCTTTACTTTGTCAAAGCAGTCTAGGTAAATGGATACAATAATACGTCACCAAATTGTACATCCCACCTTTGCAGAAGAGAAAAATTAAATAGAGCTTCTCAACACACCTTGAATATTTTTTTCCTATGCCCACTCCATGTAGAAGAAACTTGCGTGTAAAAAATTAAAAAAACTTCATAGATTATACAAACTTATCTTGTGATTTGAAACTTGCGTGTCTGTGTATCAAAAGTAAAAACTACAAAGATTATACAACCTTATATTGTGATTTGAAGAAAATAAAATAATTTTTATTATTTTGACATAAATACCCTAATTGAAATTTGAAAATACAAAGATAAACACAATGAAATATACATTTCACAATAAAAGAGGATTAAATGTTATAAGAAATTATATTTAAGTGAATCTAATGTAATTTTGCTAAACTTGCGAGAGAGATTAGTATAATTTATCCAAAAACTTTCATACTTTTGATATCAAGTTCCTCATTGACAAGATTTAATCTAGAAAGAGATTTGCTAACAAATAAATGAGCTCACCTACAAGTTTAGTTCACATCTGCTTGTCCAATCCAATCATACAACAAAAAATAATGAACATTACAGAAATTTCTGCCAAAACTTTTTAATTGCTATCCTGCTTTCGGGTTAAGGGCTGATGCGTCTCCAAGATTGGACATGGATCAATGTTAAGCCACATACTGCTGGAAATTATCAGGAGTCAAATACAAAAATATTTTATCAATCAATCAACCCATGTCATCATAATGTGTTTTCAAAAGAAATTACAGGTGGAATGTAGAATACACTCGTTGTTGGATGCTTTATCATATTTTCATTCTCTAGGAGTTCTAAATGTACAAAAGGGTAACAGACACGTAACATCGTTAATTACCTGATAGACAATCACAACTCTTTCTCACTCTCGAGCTGCGCTTCAGTTGCTGCCTTTTCTGCTTCTTCCAGAACAAATATTTTAAGTGACTCCACATCTCTCGGTCCTGGTTATATGACAGTTTTGCAAGTTCATAAATAGCACTAGTAGGCAAAAGAATTTATATAATTTGAGTGATATGAAGCAACTTATAACAGAAACTTTATATGCATAGACTGTCAATGAGGATCTATGTGTAGGGAGTTTTGCTGTTTTGACAGACAAATCACAAAACCTCCGAGACATGAACAATCACACACGCAAACAACTGATTCTAGAACAAAAGTAGATCGAATGCACGCACATACATGCAAGACACAAAAAATTATGTAGTTTACCTCAAAACAAGGGCTACGTCCATGGAGTCGCTGTAGCTTCACTATGATCTCAAACAAGCATAGAGAAGTTACAAGAGTCTCTCATCATTCCAATCTAAAAACGCTCACTTGTTGCATACCAAAAATTACTTATAATAGAGTTATAGAGGGGTGTGCTAGTACTTGCACCTAGAGCTATTAGGATTTGGAGGCTAGTTACCAAAGCCAAGAGGCAAGAAAGACATTGCCCTTTCCATGTGTGCCAAAACGGACAAGTCCACTTGAGCGGCTCTTCATTCCATGGTCTAAAGTCTGCTCAAGCAGTAGTGGACCAACACCCCACTCGAGCGAACTAGTCACTCTAAATCTAAATCAGGCTCCGCAACTTCATCAGGGAGGGTGTGTAGCAGCTTTGTAATGTGCTTATCCAAAATGCCACAAGCTATATAAGAAGGGGTATTTGTTGTCGGAGATTGTCAAATGAAAGTATGGTAGAAGTGTAGGAGGCACAATATCTCCATAGGTGTGTTGGGTGAGAGCCAAAATATCTTCAGGAAATGAGAGAGAGAAAGGACAATAATGGAGACTTGGAGGAGAAAAATTGGTCTCCTGGTTAAGGGAGGAGATGAATTGCTCATACGCGGAGATGATTCACCATATATAAGTATGACCCAACCATGGTGGCCAGTCCGCCGCACATGCCCTTGGTAGTGGGTATGAGGGACAAGCGGTTGCCTCTGCCAGATCTAAAATCCCTATAATTAAGCCATTCTACCTATTAATTCCAGAGATTTCAGTTCTAGAGGGTATAGGAAATGTTCCTCAGGCATCAAAGGATAGAAGCATGCCACATGCCTTTATCTTGATCTGGAAGTGCCTTAATCCAAAGATCTTTCTCTTTTGAAGAACAGTTAAGGTGCAAGTCCCTTGAAAAAGAGTAAAACAAACACATTAACTAAACCTTAACTTTAGCTACCTATGGCCCTAGATGTCCTACCGTGGGTCACAAGGTAACAAACATTCAGGCACCCCATGGCTGCAGCACCAACCTCAAGTAGGTCCCTCAACCCTGCTCTTGGCCTAAGCAAGCACGAGGGTACGTATCATGGTGTCATTGGAGACACAATTGGGTTCAGGAATGCTCGGCTTAGCTGAGGGAGAACCGAACATATTATAGCAAGTGGAGCATAGATGTTCTCAGAGGAAGAACCAATGGAACGTGTTATGGCTAAATGCTGAGAGCGCCTCTGGAGATTGTCCTTGAGCGCCTTGAGTTGGTTGCTAACGCACTACATACATTAGTCTTGTGATCGACATAACTTAACCTAAGAAGGCAGTTAAGTGGGAGTGTTTGGGAGGTCCATGTGTCGCCTTATGCAGTTGACATGGTGGCACATTGATCTGTGAGGTATGAAGATGACATTGTGAAAATGTGGGGGGGGGACCACGTGGTGAGGTGGACCCATGTACCCGCATTGACATACTAATCAAAGAATGTTTTCTTAGATAATGAATTTCACTTCATGCTTAGGTCTCTTTTTGGTTGCTCCCTTTAGAGGTGGTTGGAGTTGGGGAGAAAAGTGGCAAATTCATGCCAGCTGTGTGCAATATACAGAACTTATCCTTTTCTTTTACATGTGGGTTAAAGCCAATTTCATACTCTTTTTCATTCATCTTTTGATTTATGAGGCTTCAATATTATGCATATATTTTTTCTCCAAGGTTCCACACTGTTTATTTCACTCAATTCATTACCAAATCCAAGGGCTATGGCTAATGCGCATTCTATATCCTTTATTGCCCTGCCATACAATTACTATATAAGAAGAATATTTTAAATACAAATATTAGCAAAGTACGATATCAAAGCCAGTGGACACAATCCTACGCTAGTGCTTTGGATCAAAATAATGAATTATTATGCTTGAAATTTCAAATTAAAGAGTGATGTGCAGACTGTATTTCAACCATACAAAGCAAGACATGTACCTTGGTACTTTGCAACTTCTTCTCCATTATAAAAGAGCTTGAATGTAGGATATGAATGAATATCAACTTTGTTGCAAACTGGTTTATCTGTACCGCAATCAACTTGTCCAATCTCTATCTCATCCTCCCCTTCCATTGCCTTCCCCAAGTCTTCCCATAATGATCCCAACTTTTTACTGAAAACCATTTAACAAATGATAAAATAAGGCAAAAGGTTTCAATAAAAACCATTAGAACAAACTCCAGTCTGAAATCATTACCAGTGCTTACACCAAGGAACACAAAATTGCACAAACCACGCAGTGTCTTTCTCCTTCACCTAAATGAAGCACACACACAAACAATGATTAAACATTGTGTAAACAAGCATTAGAATGATGAAAGAAAAGTATAAAAGAAAAAACATAATACAGTAGCCAGTATGAGCATATGCCACTTGTAGTAACAAGAAGTTTTACCAAACATATCATTTAAATAACAATTCCAATGACAATCAATTAACATTTCAATGCAACATGTTGGGCTTTTTATGGATTTCATATTTAAAGCAAATTGATTTGAAACACCACATGCTAGCCTAGTTGTTCTCATCTTAGGTCTGTAGACATAATAAAATTAATTATAAAAAATAAAAAAAAAAATAAAAAAAAAAATAAAAAATTAGTCAAACAATACAGAACAATTCTCAATTCCTCATTATCGAGCTACTAGGTTTAGATAACTGGTTTTTACCAGAAATTCAAAGAAGGACCGAACATAGTTGAGATTAAAGAATTGAGATCGAGTATAAATTAAAAAAGAGCGATGAATTACAAGTAGAAATCAACAAGAACATATCTAAACCCTAGTTGAAATCGAGTAGAGAAGACGAATTAACTAAGATTGTTTAGGATGATGAATTTGACCTTGTCGTTGAATGTATCAGCGGTTAGGGTTATGACTTCAGCTTCAACAGTTAATAGATTCGATACAACAACAAGAAGTGATATGAGAATCACAGAACAGTGGTGGTGGTGATGGCGTTTCATCGCAGCTCTTCTTCTTGTCCTTTCTCTTTCAATTTCAGCGTTTTGAGATTTGTTTCTCTCTCCTCGGAAGTTCAGTGCAGGAGGGGGATTGCACTGACTGCCGGTGATCGATCTCTACGATTTGCTTGTGAATGAATCTGACGGTTTAAAGACGGTTGGCCCAACGAACCACACAAGGCCCAATTATATCTAGGCCCGCGCGAACCGAAAGTCCAGACTGAGGCATGGCAACGGGTCAAGTATGGGTTGGGGCCCTACCCCATCCCAATCCCTATTTCCCTCACTCTTGACCCGATCCTCAAGGAACTCTCCTCCATCCCACCAAAACCCACAAATATAATCCTCACTCCGATTCTGCTCCATCGGTAACGTAATAAGAAATTTAATAATAATATTAAAATAGAGAGCTTCTATTCCTACTCTATTTTACTCTAAATACATTCTATTCTTTATCTTTACCAGCAGTAACCCGTGCGATGCACGAAAAAAAAAATTATTTATATTTTATGTGATAAATAAATCATCTTAATCTTAAATTATATTTTAATAGAAACAAACCATGATATTAAGCCATCTGGGTAGATGTTAACAATAATTAACCCACAAAATTTCACAATAAAATTTGATATGCATAAGAAATTATTAATTATAAAAACTATTGAGAATAATAGTATCATAATCACTTAATATAAAAAACCTTTTTTTTTTTTTTGATCAGCAAAAAGAAATATTTATTGATGCAACAAACATTGTATGAAATATTACATTAATAAGGGGAGCTTGGAGCTAAACAGAAGCTCCCAGCGCCAGTTGGTGAGGAACTAACAACAGAAAATAAGAAAAAAGACAAACAGATAGAGAGCTAGACTACGTCTTCGAACTAAGAGACCAAACAAATGACTATCCGGCATGGACGCAGAATTCAACCAGCAGGCCAAATCCCAAACAGTTCAGCCCAAAAACCACCTAAATACCTCCTGATCTGTACAATAAAGCATCCTTCCCATAAATAAACAATCCTCCATAGCAGACCAAAAACCTCCCACACTACCCATCAAATCCCAACACTACACACCTGCAACCTACAACACAGCAACAGAACAGCATAAAGCAGAACAACATACACCATGGAAGAAGTTAAAGAATAAAGAAATGAAGATCTGGAGGGTGATTCCATTGGCTGTGATGTGGTTAACACCAAATTAATAACATAAATAACTTATATTAGACTAAACAAAACATTAAAAGAGAGAAATTCTATAAGCTCATAAAAGTTATCATAAATTTACTTGGACTTTTAAATCAGTGGTGTATATTATTATTGTGGGATCAAATTATGAATATCAACTTTTAATTATAATTTATAAGTAGTTTTTGAGTAATTTTTTTTTTAAAAAAATAATTATTTAATCTTTATCTTTATTTGTAGGCCATGAAATTAATTTTTATAAGTTATTTATCAACTTTTATTTGTTTATTTATAGGAAGAAATTTTAAATTATCTATAAGTTATGAAATTAATTTTTTTAAATTAATTGTTTAATTTTTATCTTTATCTGTAGACCATTTTCCACCACCGTCTTCGGCTGCCACCACCTGCCACCACCATCTTCCGCCACTACCACCCGCCATCACTTTCCACCACTATCTTTCGCTGCCACCACCCACCCCTCGTCACCGCTTTCCACCACCGTCTTTCGCCGCCATCACCCGCCACTTGCCACCACTTTCCACCACCGTCTTGTGCCACCATCACCCACCACCTGCTACCATTTTCCATTACTGTCTTCTACCACCACCACCCGCCATCATTTTCCACCATCGTCTTCCGCCACCACCACTCGTCACCACCCACCACCCACTTACCATTTCTCACTCTTTTTTATATTTTTAAATTTTTTAAAAACATTTTGTCTAAACCAAACGCGTTTGTATTTTATATTTTTCTAAAAATAAACAAAAAATAAACAAAAACCAGTTTATAAAATTTTTGTAAATATAAACTGAAAACATAAACATTACCAAACATGCCCTTAGTTTTTAGCTCTTTTTGACTTTTTTTTAGGATATTTCCGACCGAACCAAATTAAGGGTTCGTTTCATAATTGACTATTTAAATAATTTTATGACTTTTTGTATAGACGTGTAAAAAATAGTGAGTATGAGTTCGACTTTTGTATTGAATTTTTGACTTTTTTAATCAATTGTCGAACATGGGCTCTATCAAATTGGGTAAGAATTACTTGCTCTCTTTGATGGAAAAAAGGAAATTTTATTCTGTTGGATAAGAAAATTTGGGGAGACAAAAAATGTGCTCATAAATAATGTGTCTATGAATCAATCATGCCACGGTGAGGAAATTTTAAATGTCGTCTAATATAGAACTTGATATCTAAATTTAGTTATGGAAGGAGGACAAATAAATTGAATTTTGAGTTTTAGAATTATGATTTGAGAATAGAATTGTATTTTGAGTTTGTGAGTTTTGGAATTATGATTTGAGTATGAAAAATTTATTTAGTAATGAGTTTTGAAAAGAGTGTTAAAAAGAATTTGGAATTGAGTTTGAAATTTTTGATGTGACGTATGATGTTTGATTAAAAAACTTACAACTCATAACTAAACACACAATTCAAAATTCTATTTAAAGCTCATAAAAAATTTTAAAAAATTTTGAAAATATTTTTTATTTAAAATATAAAAAATAACAGGTGCCAACCCAAATTTCAATCTTAAAAAAAAAAAAAAATAGCAGTGTTCCGAACGATTGGCTAGACGTTCGGGAGGATGATTGGGTAGGCCAAATTTCAAAACTCAAAATCCCGCCTGGAACAAGTTTTCAAAAGTTGGTGTGGAATTAATTTTTAAAAGTTATATCCACACATCAAATATGGATGTGGAGTCATGATTAGAACTCCTTACAAAACACAGCCAAAACTTGATCCTACAAGATGAGCAAATTATTAATGTCTCCGGATTGGTTGTTAGATGGCTGAAGGATACTCCGATGATTAAAATCAATGTGGGAACTAAGTATAAAATTAAAATCATAATAAAAAATGTATGTATTAGAGATAGCTGAGACAATGGCTTCGCTTGGAATGTGAGTTAGTTTTTTTTTATTATTTTAACCTGGAACTAAAATAATTTTGCTAGGGATGAATCTTTTAACTTTTGTAAAAAAAAAAAAAAATAATTATAATTCAGGTGTAACAACTTTTAATCTAGAATTAAAAACTTTATTTTATTTTTTTTGTAACTATTTTAATCTCAATTCATACAAAAACCCATATGCCAAATGACTACAATATATTTCCTCTATTAGAGTCCTTAGGCTTATTTTTTTAAAGGATTGGCTTCCAAGTCCCATAATTGTCTTAGAAAAATGGGTTGAATCCTCCTGTGAAATGTAGCCAGCTTTCTATTTAACTTCCTCGACACTTTTCAACACCTATCTTTGCAACTCACTTTCTTTAGCCTCCGTTTGGGAAGTGGGTTGACTTTTTAATTTTTTGATTTTTTTGACTATTTTAGCCTGGGCTTAAAAGCTTGGTTTGGGAAGGGCTTTTTAGCTTTTTGGCTTTTTTAAGTTTTTTTGTGAGAGAAGAATGTAATGATTATGGGTTAGATGTGATGTTTTGTTTGTTATGGCTAAAATAGCCTATTTTGTTTTTTGTGACTAAAATAGCCAAAAAAGTCTGCAAACCCACTTGCCAAACACAGGTTTAAACAGAAATATTAGAAATATAAAAAAATAATCACAGAAAAATGTAAAAAAAGGAAAAAAGAAAAAAAAAGAAGGGAATGTGTAGTTAGATTCAGCACTTGTATGATAAATCACACATTTATTTTCTTTATATTTTTCTGTAAATCATTTATGTGATTAGGTGAAATATATATATATTATATTTACATTTTTCTTTCTCTTTCTAAATTTCTTTCCAAATCTCCCAATCAAACACCATAAGTTTAGGCAAAATCTTTCAATAAAAGTTATCAGTAGTTTGTTTTTTTAATAACTGATTGTTGGAATGCATTTTGACTAATCTTAGCATTGGTTTGGAAAGTTGAGTTGGTATGGGTTGGGGTTAAAATAGTTATAAAAAAACAAAATAAGTTTTTAAACTTCATGTTAAAAAATGTTACATCCAAATCATAATCAATTAATTTTTTCTCTCACAAAAGTCTAAAAAATCAAAAAGTCTATCCTAAACGAGACTTTTTAACTCCAAATTAAAATAACTAAAAAATTAAAAAATCAAAAAATTAACTCACATCCCAAACGAAACGTTAAAATTTTGAAATTTTGAGTATTCACATGTGACTTACCATTTTTATGGGTACAAATCGGGTCCAGATCCTCTGCACCCCTCCTCTCCAGTCCTTCCTCCGGTCAACGGCTAAGATTTGGCCACGTCACTTTGGGCAAAATCTAAGGCTCAAATCAGATTAGCTAAAAAATAAAATAAAATAAAAAATTGAATTTCATTTCATTCAACACAACAAAACAGAGCTTCCCTCCCATATCTTCCCATTCACTTTTTCTCTCCATCTTGAGCTTTGGTGAACGACGATTCCATCTCGTGACACCGACTGCGGTGAATCCAAGTCGGCGACGAACATCAATGGTTTCTCCCTTTCTCCCTCTGTCTTACTCCGAAGATTTCAACCGCGAACCAGAGTTAAGGTAACATGTTTTTTCTAATTGTTTCCCCCAAATAGTCTGCCATTTTCAAAACTTGAACAATGATGTGTGTTCCCTATACAGTGGAAATGATGATTAATAATCTGCCATTTTCATTGTTTAATAAGCCCAAAAAATAAAATAAAATAAAATAATAAACGCAGAGAAGAGACTGAAACCAAGCAAACCAAAAACCATGAAATTTTCAAGAGCTTCCTTCTAACTTCTTCCTTTATTTTTTGTGTTTCCTTTGTCCTACACTGCTTTAAACATTCATCTTCTTATCCCCTTCCCTCATCTGTTCCCTTTGTAGTTTGAAATGGTTTTTTTACTCATTAAATTATATATAGTTCACAATCATATGAATTAATAATAAATAAACAAATAACTTCAAAGCAGACTAGATAGATGAATTGGTAATTTTTGTTGA